TCGGTGACAAAGAGGTATGGGAAAGAGGTAGGTGGATAAGTCTCACTGAATGGGCCAAAGAGGTGAAGATAATTTGTGATTCATATGAATGCTCACCGTGTTAGACCGGGTTTACTAGAGAAACAAATTCATTGATACTCATACATGTGTAAGACAGAACTTTGTATCAAGAAATAATTATGCATCAATAAAATATCCCAGCCCTGGCCTGATCAAGTCCATATGTCCAATATGAATCCCTGAATTCCTCTTCAGACTCATGCAGTACATGTAATGATGCCGAATACAGGAAGATCACAGGCCACAGGCCAGTGGGTGGAAAGTCCTGTGGATCCAATGGCAGTAGACACATCTCCAGGGTTCTGGATGCCATCAGCATGGCATCATGTGGCTTGTCAACAGGAATATGAAGCAGAGAGAGAGAGAGAGAGAGAGAGAGAGAGAGAGAGAGAAGAGAGAGAGGCCATGTCTTCTGATGGCAGAATGAAGACAGAGGAAGTTCCCAGAATACTCATGAGAAGACCCCGCCCATGAGAAGGAATCATCAGGCTGTGAGCTGATTGACAGGCTAGATAGACTCCACCCCTCATTCTTTTATCAAGTTGACATGAAATTTTGTAACTTGAAAAAGATTACAGAGGAGATCAAGTAGCCAGGATGACACATAGTGTGGAAACCAGTGATCCTCTTTGCTCAGCCCCTCCTGTTTTTGCCCAGTGAGCATATGAACAAAGTGGCCAATGTGGCAAGAATGGAGATTATGCATTGGTTCAACAGCCTAGACTTCCACTCACCAACCCTGATTTGGCTACGGCCAGTGCTGAGTGCCCTATGTGCCAGCAGCAGAGACCAACACTGAGTCCAAGTTATGGGACTATTCCTAAGGTGAATCAACCAGCAACCTGGTGGCAGATTGATTACCTAGCATCACTTTCTTCATGGAAAGGTCAACATTTTGTTCTTACTTTAATAGACACTTACGTACTCTGAATATGAATTTGCTTTCTCTGCATGCATTGTTTCTGCCAAAACTACCATTTGTGGACTTACAGACTGTCTCATCCACCAGCAGGGTATCCTGTACAACATCGCCTTAGATTAGTGGTTCTCAACCTGTGGATTGTGACCCCTTTGGAGTGCTAATGACCTTTTCACAGGGATTGTTCGATTCATAACAATAGCAAAATTACAGTTATGAAGTAGTAACAAAAAATAATTTTATGGTTGGGAGGTCACCATAACATGAGGAACCGTATTAAAATATTGCAGCATTTGGAAGGTTGAGAACCACTGCCTTAGATCAAGGGACTCACTTCATAACTCATGGAATTCACTTAGCACGTTCCCCATCCTACCATGTTCCCATCATCGTGAAACAGTGTGATAGAATGCTGGAATAGACTTCTAAAGACACAATTACAACTTGGTGGCAACACCTTGCAAGGTTGGGGCAATATTCTCCAGGAGGCAGTGTATGCTCTAAACCAGTATCCAATATATGATTCTGTTTCTCCAGAAGCTGGATTCATGGGTCCAGGAACCAAGGGGTAGGAATGGGAGTGCCACCACTCATCATTACTCCTATTGGCCCACTGTGTTAGTTTGAGTAGACTAGAGAAACAAATCCATAGAAATGCATATGTGTATAAGAAAGAGGTTTATGTACAAGAGCAATTGAATATTGAGAAAACATTCCAGCTTGGTTTAGATCAAGTCCATAAGTCTGATATTAGCCTATATGCCTAATACCAAGCTAGAAAGTTCTCTTCAGATTCATGAAATACATGCAATGATGCCAAATACATGAGGATCACAGGCCAGTGGGTGAGAATTCTTGTGGATCCAGTGGCATTGTAAGCATCTCCGTGCTGGCGGGGGTCTCCACGTGGCTTCTGTAGGTCCAGGGTTCTTGTTGCATTAGGTAGGTCCGTGTAGCTTCTCGAGCTCCTCGGGCATAGAGCCATGAGTCTTTTCAGTAGAGCTTAACCAAGGGAGTGAGCAGGGTCAGAAGTGTTTCCAGGCTCCAAGGAAGAAATACAGAATTTCCCAGAATTCTCAGGAGAAGGTCATGCCCACAGAGGCCTCATTGGCTATGATCTGATTGACAGGCTAGACTCCACCCCTACAGTCTTAATCCTCAAATTGACAAATGATTATATACCTACCACACCCAATCACAACATTTTACATTCTGTCCCAGTGGACCTATGTTATTTAGCACTCCAGGTCTTATTTCCAAAGAAGGGACTATATCCATCCACCAGGAGACACAGCACTGATTCCATTGAAGTGGAAGTTAAGAATGCTTCTTGGCCATTTCTGGATTTCTCTCACATCAATGGCAAAAAAGTATATTATTGTATTGAGTGGTGTTAATGTATCAAAAAGATCCTGATTCCTAAGGGGAAATTGGATTAGTATTGCATAATGGTTGTAAAGTAGATCTAGGGGTTTCCTTTGATAGACTCTTAGAATTACTGTATCCTGCAATTAAAGTCAATGGTGAAGTACAGTGCCTCAATTCTGTTATGAGTAGTGACATGACTACTAATCACCTAACTCTTGAGGAATTAAGGTTTGGGTCAACCCACCAGACAAAGAACCACAACCAGCCAAGGCATTTGCTTAGGGAAAAGGACATACGGAATGGGAAGTAGTTCTAAATAGCAGCCATGGCTCTGTGATCAGCTGTAGAAACAAGGACTGTAATTGTTATGACTAATTTCTATTTGTAGGTGTACACAGAATATTTTTGTTTCGTTCATTTATAAAACATAGATGAAAATGGGGTTAGTGCATTTGGTTGTATGTGAGCTAGCTGTATCATGTTAGGTGCAAGTGTGATTTTATTATTGGAATGCATTGTGAGATGATTATGCATGTTAAAGAGTTGTCTGCAGGTGTTAGGTTGACAAGAGTTAGTCTGTGATGGCTAGTGAGTATGTCACGCAGACACTCCTGGGTACAGGTAGAGTGTGATTTTGTGTCTGTTTCCTTGATCTTCTGTTGCATTGTCTGCCTGCCTCAGGAGCCGTCAGTAGACTACCAAAAGTTGATTCGTTTGGCCAAGTTTGTATTCATTTACCTCTGCATCAGCCAGCCTGTGCCCCCCACCGCCTCCTTTTTGTTCATCAGCTTCCACAAATCAGGAGAAGCCTGACTTGAACCAGACTGGACTTACCTACTTCTAAAAGGTGTAAGCCATTTGTTGATATAAATCTCCTCCTCTATACAGACACATACAAGTGTCACTAGTTTTGCTTCTCTGGAGACCCATCCTGACACCCATGTCAGGTAATATACTCACCTGCAGCTATCAAGATTCGTTAGCATCCAGGTATCTTTGGGCGCTCACTACTCTGTCCTTCACAGCATCCAAATCAGGGAGGTGGTGATAACGTGTGAAACCATAGCCAGCATATTTTACTAGGTCTCACATAAGTGTCATACTTGACAACTACAGCAGAAAGCTAGAATAGAGCTGGTTTGGAGCTACGGCAATCTAAGGGATGTTCGAAAGCACCAGATGATTAGTGTCGAGAAATGAAGACCTATATTTATGCATGTGGGGCGGGAGTTGCAGTTTGAGGAGGCATGAGATGATTGCTGTCTTTAAAATATCTGAAAGTTCTATTAGATGACAGAAGGTTTAAACCTGTGCTGGGTAATCTCAGAGGGCAGAGCTGGATTAATACTTGGACGCTCCTAGGAAGTGCTTTCGGGAGGTTCAAGGCACAGTTGTGTGGTCGCTGTTGTGCTTAATGCAATGGTCTGGAGATGCTGTGGCTTGACACAGTGAGTCTCACCAATGAGATCTGAGTATTAATTGAAGGTCCTCTCAGATATAGTCTCAAATTTATTTTACTCCTCCAGGTCAATATATTTCATTCCATATGCATATACCTGGAGCTCACCAGGACCCCTCAGTCTTATAAAGGAGTCGTCTTTTGCCCTGACTGAATCAACCCTGAGGATCTATCTCTGGCCAAATCAAAAAAGCTGATGAAGGATGCTGACATACCACAGATGCCTCACATTATTGTTGAGACTATAAAGAAGGATCATAAGGATTTTACATATTAAGAAATATTGCATAAGTTCTTAAAATAATAACCTTTGTGGTCTATTCAGTTGCAAAAGAAAACAAGCAACTGAACTGTAGAGTCATGGCATGAAGAAAATGTAGATTTCTTGCTATTCGCTGATTCATATGAGCATTACTTATGTTTTGAAAAATTTGAGTATTTAAATAAAAAAAGCAATATTATATAAATATTTTGATTGATATATATATATATATAATTTATCGATTTACTCTACAGAAAGGATGACCTTTAAAATAATTTGTCAAAGATTTGTGTTCATCTGTAAAAATGGTTTTTACATTATTAGTTGTATATGCTGTATGAATATTGTTAGTACTTAAAAGAATCAGTGCTCTGCATAATTTAAAGAATTCATGCTACCATGAATATTCTTGATTTTTCTTGATATATATGAATGTCTAAATTATAAATCTGAACCGTGCTCTTATTATGCTAGATCATCTGACCTTCAAATGAATTTGTCTGCCCAAATATCCAAAAGAAATCCATAAACTTATTACAACCTCAACTGTATTCACGAGAAGTGTCTGTAGTTCTTTATAACTGTGATCTCGACATCCTCAAAGAGAATCTGAAGTGTCTTTTGGGTTGTTATTTAGTTTGTAATCATCTTCTAAGATGAAGAGGTGCTTGTCCAGAGAGTAGACATTTGGGTCCAGTACCATCAATGACTTTATAGACATTTCCTCTTCTGCCCATTTCTAGGGCTTACTCAATAGCAATAATGATCATTCCCGACAGCTCCTGAGAGTCCTCACTATAGTCAGAGGAAGGTCAGCTATTTTTTGATCCCCAAGGGAGAGAGACAGCGCCTCAATCAGCATCCTGAAATAGCTCGCCATTGGCAGCTGCTGGGCTGCAGCCCCTCCAGCAGAGAGCACGGGATACAAAGCAAGGCGGGGGGTAAGTGAGAAGCCACCAAACATGAGCTGGGAGAGGCTTCTGCAGCAGATTCTGCCTACTCAAGATCATCCTTCTGTTTCTTTTTAAAATTCGGTCGGTGATTTTGAGATCTTTCCGTCCACCAATTTCTTACTTAGTGTTCTTTTTTTTTTTTTTTTTTAAATTGGACGTGTGAATTGAAAATGAAACTAAATATTGCCATCTTCTTTGGGGCCCTCTTCGGTGCTTTGGGAGTCTTTCTCTTTTTGGTGGCCTTTGGATCAGATTATTGGCTTCTTGCAACTGAAGTGGGGAGATGTTCCGGTGAACACAATGTGAGTTTCTTCTTCAATGTCTCGATGCACTTGATAGTGATCAGAGTAGGCTGATGCCTTCACATGCTTTGAAATGAGAGGATCGTAGGAGTGGATATTTCTTCATAAAAGAGATATGCAGAAAGCTATACATTGGCATTCTTTGGGATTAAAAATTTTAAAAGAAACCCGATTCCTGGAAAAGGTCATTTTTTTTCTAGTCCTTGATCTGATGGCAAGTTATTTCATTTTATTTTGTGCAGATAGAGAATGCGACTTTCCACCACGAAGGATTTTTCTGGAGATGTTGGTTTAATGGGATTGTGGTCGAGAATGATTCCCACATCTGGAAGTTCTGGTATAGTGAGTGCCATTTTGCTTTATCTTTCCCTTGTCTTTGAGGTAAGATGAACAACAAATGAAATAAGAATGAATTCTTAATTGTTGAATTTCAATCAGATACCTTCAAAAGTTCTTGATGAGAATCTTTTTCTCCAACTAGAAATGGCTATAGAGATGATTATTTTTCTTCAAGAATAAATAGGCATCTGACTACTTATGGCAAAACTGAATTATCTAGTGTTTCTATGCGCACGTTAAAATACAGAAACACTAACAAAACAGATATTATCTGTAGTATTTTTCAAGTGTTTATTATTGCTATGTTGCTTTTTTATTGGCTGTAAGCTCTTGAAATCTCAATTTTTAAAATCCATGATAGAGATATGTTATTTTATACTCATGTCCTCGAAGTTTAAAAAATGGAATTTAATTACTAGCACTGGCAGATGAAAGCTTGTTTCAGTTGGACTTTAACCAAGGTTGTCAGCAATATCATTGCTTTGTATGTTTACCTTCTGTCATGGAAACTTTCAAGTTCTCTTTTGAAGTAGAATAGGTTTTTTTTTGTTTTCTTTTTTTAATGATGCACTTTTAAAACTGTATTTCGTATGTTGTATTCATCTTTGAAAATAAATTCACTGGTAATATTTAGTAATCACCTTATTAGATCCAACAAGCAAAAGAACAATTTATTACTCTAAAGATTATTGAGGTTTGGAATTCTCTGTGTCTTTATTAAATATACTCTAACTAAATCTAGCAACAGTATTTATGTGATATATGATATTATGGAGTTTATAAGGAAAGTATGAGTTTTCTGGCAACTTAAGCAAGCTGTCAGTAGGTGGTATGAAGGGACATGATAGGTAGAGATGAGATAGCACATTTGAGAGGACTCTTTGATAGGCCATCTTATAGTGCGTTTTGGGGAGGGGGCTAAGCATTTGTTAAGCATACAACCTGGCAATGGAAATTATTTCGACTTTGGTAAAGTGGACTTAGCCAGTCTAGGGTAAAGGAAGGTTTTTGAGAAAGAGAAAAGAATGTACTCTATTTTCTGCCTAAAGTGGCCTAGAAATTACATTGCACAAAGAGTTCTGACCCCTCCCTTAGAAGGCCCAGTGAAATTCTTTGCAGGTAACATAAAAGTTTTTAAGTTTCTTCAAATGCTAAAAATGTATATAAATGCTCAAATGTATCACTAGTGTCTTTTCCCCAATCATAGGATATAGAAGCCTTTGTCTATTGATTAGGATGAATCAAATTAAGTCAAATTAGGATTTTAAACAAGTATCTATTGAATATTTATGTGATCTGTGCTATGGCATTGAGAGTACGCAGAGTATGTTTGTGAAAATAAACCATGTATGTTGCTTTCAATTATAAGGTGATATTGGGGGTATTTGCACCTGTTCCTGTGAATTGTGTCATGAGGCTAGAGCCTGTGAGTTGATTCACTTCCCAGGCCCCTGTGGTTCTCAATGCAAGTCCTGTGGATTGGTTCCTGTCCCTGTAAGCCTCTGGCTTTGTTCATCTGACTTGTGGTTTTATTTTGCTGGTAGACTTCTGGCTCTGTCTTTCTGTTCAGTGAAGAACAATTTGTAATTCACACTCTCAGTAATAAGACCCATTGTCCCGGTGTCTTCCCTAGCCAACCAGCCACAATCCAAGAACTGCACACATGCTTACCTGTCACCATACCCCTTCATGAGAGGCGAGCACAACTCAACCTCCTACGACTCCGCACTGAGTAAGTACCCGCTTTGCTCAGAGACCCACTTCTGAAAGATGCCTGCCACGATGGGGGAGGGGGGCAAATTAAAAAGTAAGGGAACACCTGAAAGGCTAAAATGAATCATTATTTTACCTTTAAAATAAAACACCAATTGATTTTATAAAACGTAAATAGTTTTAATATGGTGTTTGTGCTAGTAGAACATAACTTCAGTTTAAAAGTAAAGTCGTTGAGTTGTGTTTGCTACTCATAAACGTAATTTTAGAAATGTGTTTTCCAATATAAAAACAGGGCTATTAACTAGAAAGAATTTCTGCTTAAGGGTTTAACTGGCCTGAAACATGTCTCATCATTGAAAATATTGTACTATACACCCTACATGAAAATTTTTGCAATTGTTGTATATGAAATATGGTTATGTTATCATATTGGGACAAAATTGAACCTACTGTAGATGCCCATGCAATATTCCATAGCAGAATGATAGGTATCACTGACCGACAGTCATGATTTCATAGTTTCTCAAATGTCTTCAGCCTTATATTTGTTATGTAGCACGTACGTTAAATGATTTTCATTAGAAAGTATACTTAAGATGCCAACTTTATTGTCAAGTGCTTCCATGAAGTTGTTCCATTGAGAAGGGTCATGGAACATTAAAGCTAGGGTACAGAACTTAGAAATGTCATCAGTAGAGCCAAGATATATCTGTTTTTCAAAGAGAATACCTATGTATTTAATGTTCTGAATAAACGGAATGTATCTTCACGTCATGCATCTGCTTTCCCATATGTTTGTTAAATACTTATTTATACGCATATCCATTTGTCTCTGGGTGTTGCATCTACTTATATCACACCATGAAGATGGCGGCCGGGGGTAGCAGCTTCTGGAAGGGAAAAGGGAGTGGGCTTACACTTGCTCTTGTTTATTGAGGCGCCTTGCGTTCAAAGGGAGAGAGAATAGGCTTTCTCCTCTCTCTTCTGTCCTGGAAGGATGTCGTCGATGGCAGCATGTGTGCTTTTTGGTATTGGTTTGCAAGGTCTTTGGCTGTTGAGTTCTGAGATATGTGTAGTGTGTATGGTCCATCTCATTTCAGATGGCACGGGGCTTCCTTATTTACCTTTACCAGGACTCCTCACATCACGTTTGGTGTAGATCTTCTCATTGATCAGAGAAGGGACAACACAAAGGAAATAAGGGGAAACATCAGATTTTTCTTCGAAGTTAAATTCAAGGTTCACCTTCTGTCACTGGGTCTCCCCACAGATGGATGAAACCGGGTTTTGCTCTGTACTACAGAAAGTTACAAGAAAGGCCCGTAGCTCCAGACCTTTATAATTTGATTAAAGGAATTAAGAAGTAATATAAAGCTGATGTTGCAGGACTTTAGATGATTGTGTAAATGTTACCATTGAGAAGGTTGTTGTTTATATGTTGAGTTCCTGTGATAATACAGATTTTGTAGCTATCATATAGTCTAAAAGGAGTCTGCATATTTGAAATGTCTGCACTTCACCGAAAGAGTGGAGAACTTGAAAAACAAGGTAACATAATCCATGCATAATAATTATGGTGTAGATGGATAGTAAATACATGTCAGAAAAATTATACTGCAATTACACTTAGAATTATTATGTAGCACAGCATATAATTACTATGTCATTTCTTGGATCTACTGACAAAACGATATTCTACTTTTTTTTTTCCAGTAATCAAACTCCTCTCTCGCACACATATGAGTATCATAACGCCTTACTAACTTTAGGTACCTCAAAGCCTCTTTTATGCTCATAATAATGTGCAGTGATAGCATTATACCTTGGTGATTTAAGTTTGTATGGTTTCCCTTTTCTAAGAGGAAGGTAAAGATTTCATTAAAAGTGTTCTGTCTGATGGCAAGTGTGTCCTTCCTAGGTAATGAGACCATGTGATCTTTGCTAGATTCTAGAACCACATTTTGCATTTATTTAGCTTTATAATTATCAAGAGCTATATATGTGCCAAATTATGATTGGTACATAGAAAATATTGTTTGCAAGATCTGATATATGCATCCTGACTTGGTAGATTATTGGCACAAAAGGCTCATTTTGTCCTGAATTCTTGTAATTACCTTTAGCCAATATTCAAGTCAGCAAAAGTAATATTGCGATGTATGATTTTTGGGAATGGTTATTTTTGAATTGGAATGCTACCGATGAAATTATCCTTTTTTTTCCAGAATAAGGAGACTGAGGCTCCGAAAAATCACGACTCCATCCACACAGCTTATAGTCGGCAGAATGAATGCAAAAACCCCGAGTGTCTACTACAGTTTATAAGGTTCTCAAATGAGATCTTGTTGACAGTCGTATACACTTCAGTAGCTAAAAGACCTATTTTAGTGCTTACCATTCAGTATTTTCAAACACAAGTTTTGAAATTGGATAGCAACAAAAGAACAAATTAAAATTACAGTGGTCTTTGCTACTTTTCAATTTGAATCTGACCTATGTATACAGTCAGGACTCCTTCAGTGTTTCCTTTACTTTTCCTCTGGTCTCAAGTCTATGTTCTGAAATTCAGTTATTCTCAAATCTAGTTTTATGAATGATTGCTCACGTCTAGCAAGGGTGGTCTAAGTCTCAGAATGTTTTTGAGGTCGGCTGTATACTGCAAAGTCTATGGAACAATTCCATTACCTTTTGAAACCTGTCAGAGTTTAGAATTTTTTAGTTTGTTCCATGCTTAAATTCAGTCATATTTCCTTTTCTTGATTTCATTTGGTAATGATGTACTGGCCATAAATTAATTTTCAACATCATGCAACCACTGAGTGCAATTCCCTCAATCAAACAGCAATTTTTGCCATTTCCACTCCCGGTTTCCCATTTTTATTTCTCCATCTCTCCTGCCCCTGTCTGAATTATTTCTTGGTGAGCACTGCTGTCTGGTTTCTTATGACTGATTATTCTCAGAAGCATGTTCGGCGTGGGTAGTATTATTCATTTTATAGGTCTGCTTATTTGGTTGAAAGATGCTTTCTGGAAATAGGTTCCGCTCCAGGTTTGTAACGTCCCTAAGAACCATAATCTCAGGTGTTCCACCAGTCTCCATCAGACTAGTAAATTTAGTACTTTTGAAATGTTTTTTAATTCTCTGCTCTTTTTTTTCCTATTCTGTCCAAATCCTTCGATTGTGATTCTGAACCGAGAGGTCAGTCGTGCTAAGTGGGCATGATCTAGTGCTTCTGGCCTCAGGCTGGTGGTGCCCGTAGTTCATGTGCTTCATTACTCCTTTGGACTAATTTCTTCCTTGAGACTTTGATTTTCTTCACTATTCTTAGCTTCAGATAGGAAGGACCAATAATTGTACCTTTGCTGATCTATCATACATTAAAAAAAAACAACTTTCCCTAATTACCAAAGTAGAATGTGGAACCATTGTTTTTATGAACTATGTTATGCTAAAAGTCCACAAACCTAAATGACCTAATTGTTCTGCCAATCAACCTAATTTTCCCAAGCCCAGTCACACAGCCCTCCAAGGTGTTTGTTTATGGCTAAGAGGTTTGAATCACTTTGCCAGTCGGCTTGACTAGATGCTTGGCTATATGTGTAGCACAAACAAATCCCTATGTCGTCTTAGCAGTAAATAGCTTTACTCTTGCTTACTTCTCAGTGTCTTTCTGTGCCTTGGCTATGTTGTGCAGGCTCCTCACTTATGTGGTACTGACCCCCCATCCCCCATTTTAAGGCATACCTACTATCTGTTATTGTCACGTTTCATTGAGTGGGCTCAGACTCATAGGCACCCTATGTGAGTAGGCTTGGACCCAGAGGCACCCTACGCACAACAGAACAGCCACTGCATGCTCCTGCACCACCTCACAATTGTGCCCATCCCGAACCCATCGATGAAGCCACTGTGTCAATCCCTCTTGTGCAGCACCTCCCTACTTTTCTCACCCCCTCCACTTAACCAAACATGATGCATCTAGTTAGCGACCATCTTGGCTTCTCCTTCCTATCTCTCGTATCCATCAAATGATGTTTCTTTCTGTTTACAAGCCTTTTCTTTCCTTGTTCGCATAAGGATCTCACTGTAATATGTTCCCTTTGTGATAGACTGATTTCACTCACATAATGTTCTCCAGGGTCATCCATGTTGTAAATGGCGTTGTGAATGCTTTGATGTGGTGTAACCTTCCTTTGTGCATATGGTCCAAAGTTTGTTTAATTATGATCTGTTGACAGGCACTTTTGTTGTTTCCATCTTTTTGCTATTTTGAAAAACACTGCTATCAATATGAGTGATGAGCTGAGACAACACCATACCCATAAACATCTTTTGGAGGTTTGTAGTCATTTTCTTTTCTTGAGCCTTCTGTGTACCATCCAGCCTCCTCCAAAGCTTTCCTTTCTGTTGACTCCCTCCTTCCTTCTTCTCCTTAGTAAGGCAGGATTATCCTTGAAGCTAATTTTTAATTGGATACCTTGTAGCAAAGTTTAAATTATTTATTTAAGTCATTCTTTTGCTATTGCAACTTCCTCTCCTTCCTATTCTAAGCTTTCTGAGAGGCCAAGGGTCTTGAATGCTTGCCTCACCATTATATCCAAATTAGGCTAAAGGTGAAATGGGTTTTGTTTAGATCTACTACTGTAATTTACAGGTCTGATGACACTGTGGTTATGTGTTCCTCTTTGATCTGAGAGATCCACAGTTCCCAACCTCTAGCAGCGCCTCAGGAGAAAGACAGAGCTTTCTACTCCCATAGACAGTTGCAGTCTCCGGAACTCACGGGCAGTTCCATGTTGCTCTACAAGGTCACACCGAGGTGGTGTCAGTTCCATGGCAGTGAGTGAATACTGTGGCATTTCTATGGATGGACTGACTAGCAATAGGGGTGTGTGCACTCACAAACATACCTACTTACAAACATATATCTACTAAATGGACCTAGATTTTTCTTTGGTAAGATTTTTGTAATTTTGATATTTTCAGCATTGCCTTATGTCTACTGTCAATTTTTTTTTT